AGGTATATGTTTGATATGGGTGTATAGTGTTGACCTTAAGGATTTTATCCGTGGACAATCTAGGTGTACGTTTTGATGATAACAAATCATTAATGGTGTTTAAGGACTAATGTTTACATTGAGTGTTATATAGATTATTCACATTCAAAGAATGACCTTAATGAAGTACTAAAGATCATTCCAAGTATTTCATTATTCAAGATCACATCAAGTAAAGTAATGGATTCAAAGAAGACATGAAGTTGCAAGGAACCAAAATCCAAAGTCCATCCAAAGATAGCTTGGACTACAATGAGCAAGTAAGCAACTCAAAGAAGGGAAGAAAAGAGTACCTTAAAGCTTAAACGATCATGAACAAAGCATGAAGAAAGGGGTAGATAGGATGGTGAGTGTTTAGGATTCAATTTCAAAGTATTTAAAGAATGAGTTAGTTCAAGCTTGCTTAAGCTTTGAACGAACTCATCACTTGTGTTAGAAATGTTAAGACCATGTACGTCAATCACTTGATTCATATTGGTCAACGATTAAGGCATATAAAGCCTTCATTATCATGAGTTGGTAACGGACATTAGGACCCTAGATGCGCGTCATGAAAAACTGTGTTTTTTGCTAAGTGTGAAAAATGGATTTTTGAAATAATGATTACTTCAAATAGCCGAAACTGATTTTATCAGAATTTATAACCAAGTCTACATTGGTCTACATAAGGATTCATTTTTATCAAAACTGTCAGAAATCCAATTTTGTACTAAAACTAAATTTTTACATTTTGATTTAGTTGGATTTCAATTTTCTTATATTTTTTGTTGAATCCAAATGGGGGGTACTTCCTTATTTACATTGTAAACTTAAAGTAAATGAATATATAAATACTGTACAGACATTTACTTAAATATTTTCAATGAAAATAAGGTATACAGACTGTCTGCTGGAATGCCTAAACTGAAAACAGAACTGTCAGGACAGATTTTTTGTCTGTCAGCTGACTGGTGAAAATGCCCAATATATGGCAGCTGGCCGATAACAAAACAGAGAGATGAGATTCTTAAACCCATCGTTTCGGCCAACCGAAGATTGATCGTTAGCCGATCGACAAGGTAGTTTTGGCCGACTAAAAGTGTACCATCAGTCGACCGACACTGAGACAAAATTTGAAATAACGGCTGTTTTGACCAGTTAACTTCATGGGACTTTACCATTTTGCCCCCAAACGGCTATATTATGAAATGGGGCTATAAATACACCAAGTTTGAACATTGTGTGCATGCAAGAGAGCTAACACTTGAGAGACCTTATTAGGCATTAAAGAAAGCTTTTGTTCTCACATTTTCTCTTCATCTCTCTCATTCATTCATATACTTACTTGAGAGATTCAACTAAAGATTCAAAGGGCTTTTGCTCTAATTCAAATCCTCAAAGGGCTTTTGCTTTATTCTACACTTGAGAGATTTTATTAACTTCATAAGAGCTTTTGTTCTTCACTTATATCATCTTCTCTCATTCATATCATTCATAGAGTTTGAGCTTCATTGATATTCATATATACTCTAGTTGAGAGATAAATTTGTACATCAATCTTTGAGAGATATTTCTTATACTTCATTGTTCTTGTTACTATCAATTGTAAATGGTTGGTTTGACCCATCGGGTTGGTGTGGCCCAAAGAAAGACTAAGGGAAGGTTATTCTCTTAGCAAAACGAAGCAAATAGTTGTTTCATGAAAAGGTTTACTCTCCACTGGTAAGAGAAGCCATAAGGGATTGAGAAGTCTCAAGAGGGGTCTTGAGTCGAGGAGTAGGAGTTTCCGAACCTCATTAAAATCGCAGAGTCATTGTTTGCAATTTCTCTTTCCTGTCTCTTTTACTTTTATGCTTTGAATCGATTGTCTAGTTCATTTAGTTATTGCATAATTATTTTAAGAGCCTAGTTAGTAATCATTTTTTAAAAATTGCAAAAATTGGCCATTGACTTTATTCACTCCTCTCTAGAATCAATCCTTGGGCAACAATTGGTATCAGAGCCTAACTCTACTTAAAGGACTTAATCGTCTTAGAGTACGATTATGGATAACAATGGTAGTATCACACATTTAGAAGGACAACCCAATGATAAACCTCCTTGTTTTGATGGAAATGATTACATCTATTGGAAAATTAGAATGAGGGCGTTTCTAAAAAGTATTGATATTGATGTGTGAAAAGTTATAGAAAATGATAGTCATATCCCAACCAAAGTTGTTGAAAAAAATAAGATTCATAAATCAAAAGGGGAATGGGATGAAAATGAACATAGATTAATTCAATGTAATGCTTTTGCCATATGCTATCTTTATTGTGCATTGGGCAAAAATAAGTTCAATAAAATTATCTTTTGTAAAACGGATAAAGAAATTTGGGACTTGCATGAATTAGCCTATGTTGGATCAAGTCATGATAAGGAATCAAATATAAATGAACCCTCTAGCATAAATGAGATGCATTATGGTTTTACTAACATTACTAATCATTTGAATGTTATTGGTAGAACTAACTCATCCACTTATAGTGAAGAAAGTGATGCAATGCAAAAGAAGAGTATAACTTTCCAAACTTCTAGCAAAGAAGCAAATAACATCAAAGAGTTGGTTAATCTTTGTCTCATGGCCAATGAAGATGAGGTAAATTCTAATCATGAATCTTTTGATTTAGAAACTTCCTATAATGAATTAGTTGATGAGCTCAACGATTTGCATAATGCGTTAAAGAGTTACATGATGTGCTAGAAACAATGCTTGTAAAATGTGCTTCCTTTAAAAAGGAAAACCATGATCTCTCTCAAAGACATGAACAAGTTCAAATGGAAAATGGCTCTTTGAAAAAGGAAAATCATGATTTTGTGTAAAAATTAGAAAAGATTCAAATTGAAAATGAGTCATTGAAAAATGAAATGAAATGTGTATTTTCTAAAGAGTCGTCATCAGTTGATTTTATTTCCGAAAATGAGTCTTTAAAGAAAATCATTGATGATCAAAATGACATTTTAGCAAAGTTTATCGAAGAAAATGAGAACTTAAGTATTACGCTTGGTAATCAAGGAAGTGTCTTTTTAAAAAATGAGATAGTGTATGATCCTCATATTAAAGATGCATGTTTATTGAAAAAGAGAAAGTTCTTAAATGATTCATTTGACAAAAGTTCTTTTCAATATCCTAAATGCAATTATTGTAAAATGTTTGGACATATAATTCAAAATTGTCCATTTAGAAAGATGATAAGGACTAAGATGATTTGGGTTCCAAAAAGAACTTATATGTCATTACCTAACTCCCAAGGACCAAAGAAAATTTGGGTACCAAAAGAATATTCTCTAAGTTTACCTTGTAGGATTGCTTGAAGGCATCTTCATCCACTACAACATATTAGGGTTTCACCAGCGCTTTTTAAAAAAGCGCTGGTGTTGAGTACAAATTACCAGCGCTTTTTTAGAAGCGCAGGTATTGAGTACTAATTACCGGCGCTTTTTTAAAGAGCGCTGGTGTTGAGTATAAATTACTAGCGCTTCAACAAAAACGCTAGTATTGAGTACTATTAACACCAGCGTTTCTGAAAAAAACGTTGGTGTTAAGTACTAATTACCAGCGCTTTTTAAACAAACGCTGGTAAATGCGAAATGTAGTGCGAGAAACTTTGGCACTCTAATTTTCACTTTATTTCTAACTTTACCAATTTCATCCGAGCCCTAGTTTCTCTTCAGCCTCCCCAATAATCTCTATCTCTATTCTCGGTCTCAACTCTGAACTTGCCCCCTCTCTCTCTCTGCAACTCCCCAGTCGCCTTCATCTCTCTCTCTCTACAGCTCCCCAATTGCTTCAATCTCTATTCTCGGTCTCAACTCTGAACTTGTGCCCCCCCTCTCTTTCTGCAACTCCCCAATCGTGATGACACGTGCCCCTCCTCCTCAACCATCCCTCTCTCTTAGCAACTCTACCTCCAATCGTTAACATATACGGACCCCAGCTGGCTCGAAACCTGTCCGAGTACATGAACGCTAGCCTATACTTGTTCGCCACCATTGTTCTTCTATGTGGCTTCATTGATCACTTCGTTGCTGAGAAAATCTCTGCAAATCGTTTGATTCACTTTACGTAATGGCCTCCGAGCTTGATATCAATGGCGATATGGCATCTTCAGCTTGAATCTCCTCAAAAACCTCCCCCAACTCTCCCCTAATCAGGTTCATATATATATATAATTAAAATGGTTTGATTTTTTTAGTTTCTGCATTGGATTGGAATGCATGATGTTGTGTGGTAGGTTGAGATTGCGAAGTTGCTGTTGGAGGTCGGACAGAGCCATCTGTTCTAGCATTGGCCTGAGCCTAGCGTTAATGACGATGAGAAGCTAGTTTTCTTCGATCGGGTATATGAAGGTTTCTATATTTGAATTGATGCAATGTCAACGTGAACAATTTTGCAGATCATTCTTGTTATGCAATATCAATTCTTCTCTCTCTATATGATATCATAAATTATGTTGAGTTATGAATATATACATACTTTTTGGATTAAAACCGGAGATACTGGTGAAAAAATTCAGTAATTCAGTTTGAAAACAAGCATAAGAATAGAAAAGTCTGGATTTTTTCGAAGGTAAAAGCTATAATAAGGGCGCTCTTACTTTGAGTTTATGCCCTCATCATAGACTTTCTCTATTCTAAATCTGGCAATTAATACAATTGTACTTAAAATTTTATAACGAGCCTCCATAGCTACTTTTAAGAAGAGAAATTTTAATATTACAATTAATTGAAGTTTAGGTTATACTGTTTGACTTTTATCTTCCCTTTTGAATCTGCCTCATCTTTATCTCCATGGCGTAACATTTCACTTGAATTCATTTTAGAAGTATTGTTCCTATCTTTATCTCTGTGGCGTAACATTTCACTTGAATTCATGTTAGAAGTATTGTTCCCATACCTTATTATTTTATTTTTAAAATTTCATGAACTATAGCCGTTTCTTTTAGGTTGCTCGACTTAATGCAAACTATCCTGGTGGGTTGGCATCATATATCAAAACTGCCAGAGAACTCCTAGCAGATTCAAAGGTGGGGAAGATCCCATTTGATGGTTTTACACCTTCTGTAAGTTAACTTACTTTTGAAATTTGTTCTGAAATTATGTTAATATATTCTTTACATTTGCAACTTATGTGTCTTGTACACGTTTATAATCATGTTTAATTGACCCAAATTATGTTAATGTATTCTGACAACCATTACACCCTCAATTGTATGGTCAAAGTAAATTGGCAGTTGATGTGATTAGACTCAACTGATTAAATGGTAGACTGAGGTGTATCGTCTACTACTTAATATTAGATATACTGCTAAATGATTTATGAAATTATAGATAATATAAGTAATGCATCAATACTAAAAACCAACTGAAGAAGAAGAATCCTCATAGCTGAACTCAAGTAATGGGGATTCAGGTTTGAGCTGAGTTGCGTAAGTAAAGCATCATAAATATGGAAAAGCTAAAGCATCATAAAGTGTACTTTACACTTTCTCCTTTCTCATATAACCCAATTTTCAATTACTCATCTTAATTTTCAATTTTACAACTCAATTTTGCAGATATATAACTAATTGTAGTAGTAGTTGACAGAAAGATTTAGGTGTTAATACTCATCTTAAATTTTTAAACTTCCCATAGGAGATTGTCGCATTATCATGGAGCTGGAGTATAATAAGGCTACAAATGAAAAAATCTGATTATGAATAGTTCGATTAATCAGATTTGGCTAAGCTAACAGGATCATTCAAGTTTGTTGTAAAACAATATTATACTACACAATTGGCCTTTACCTAGATAAGGTATGTCATTCAAACTTTTTGTTTTTCTTTGAAGGTTGTCGATTGACCATGAATTGCTGTACTGTTTACTTTTTAATTGAGTATCCGATTGTCTAAGTTACGTGCATAATAGATCTACTCTATATTGTATTCACTAAGTTGATAAGTCTTTTAGTGAACATTCATTTTCTTGGTCAAATATACTTTCATTGAAATCATATTGACTTGTCCTTAACTTTGCCATTTTAAATCTATTATTACTCACCAAATATATATAATAAGTCTATAAATTTGTGGGTTCAGCCGCAAAAATTGAAAAGGGGAAAAAAAAAACACAAAGTTTATGCAGGTTTTGGAAGAAAATTATACTGTTACTTAGTTCTGGTGAGAGTTTTTGGGAATGTTAAGGACATATGAGCCAAATGGCAAAACCTAACTATTTCAATACTAAGCATCCAATAAAAGGCTGAAAAGTACAAATAAAAAAACAACATCTATTTGGCTTCCTACAAGTACAAACAGCATGAAAAAATATGAAAAGTAAAAATCTGATCAAAATGTGACAGATTGACGCAACAAAACTCCTCAATATAAGGTCAACTAACTCTTTCACGAATCAAATGCAGCATTTCAATTGCAAGTCTACATATTTTCAGAAACACATAGCCAATCAATATTTTAAGATCCTGAATATTATAGATTAAGAAGAGTACAATAACAACAATTCAGAAAAATAAATAATAAAAAAAAGCTGACTGAAATTTATACTTATTTGTTCGTTGGTGATCATCTTTGAACTATATAATAATTATTTCATTTGAACTAATGTTTGTTGATTTATAAAAAAATTTACTGTGTTTATGTGTATATATGAAGACATGGGATCTTAAAATTTTTATGTGTTTATGTGTAATGTTCATTGATCTTCCTAAATTCCTCAGAAAATTTCTCATAAATGTTACTAGTCTTTACTAAATATATGTTTACTTATGCCAAGATTTCATGTATTTTGTTTTGTTATTTTGAAGGGTTTTGATTCTTTAAATGCTCCTCCTAGAGTATCCCCAAATTCATTTTCTAGTCATGATGCCAATTCAATTAAGGTTATGAACTTTTAATTTCTCTTATATGTTAAATTTCCATTTATTATAATGTGCGCTTAATGAATTTATAAAAAATGTAGGGTAATTCAAATCAAATGGGCAAGAAGAAGACTTGTTGAAGTTGAAGTTGAAGCTGAAGATGGGGTCGTGGCTGTGCTTTCAGTCTTTTCCTTCACCTTGGATGGGTTCTTTTTGAAAAACTTGTACTACATTTGTCAAAAATACTTAATTCTTTTTGTGTGACATTTAGTATCTTTATCTAGACAATTTGGATGTATTTTCATATTGGCAGGTTAACTTGTGGTTGTATTAGTATACATTTTGGCTTTTTGGTTGACATTTACTAGCTTTATCTATTAGTAGCCAATTTCGATGGTATTTTTCATATTGGCAGTAGGTTAATTTGTGGTTGTATTATGTAAAAATAATTTGGGTAGTATTTTTATATTAACTGGTGTTATATTGGATGATTTTTTTTTTTTTTTTCAAAAACAATAAAGGGGGAGAAAAAAAATAAATATAAAATAACCCTTTACCAGCGCTCTTTTAAGAAGCGTTAGCATAGGGGGGGAGGAAAAAAAAATTTTAAAAAAAAAAAACTAAAATGACCCTTTACCAGCGCTTCTGGAAAAGCACTGGTAAAGGCCTACCGACACAAGCTTTACCAGTGCTTTTGGAAAAGCGCTGGTAAGCTTTTTAAGACTTTTACCAGCGCTTTTGAGCGTTGGTAAAAGCCAGAACTGTTGTAGTGATCATCCAAGGAAAAATGATTACTTGATAATGGTTGTTCAACATGTGATGTAAGAAATGTTCCAAATTTTTCACTCTAAAAACAATGGAGCATCACAATTGGGAATAACTACAAAAGCAAGGTAATTGGTATGAACTTTTTATTGCTTGACTCTTTTGGCATGATAGAATCATCTATGATTAATAAATGGTTACAAAATGAAATGTATCCTTAAGCCTTTGATCATCATATATGAGGAGTTCTTGAATGAATTACACTAGAGAAATGATAACTATGATAATATGCCATTTATTGTGGAATTCTTATCTTCATACTACAAGTAATCATTGTTTATGCAAATTTTTCAATGCATGCTTTCATTGATTGAAAAACTATCTTCTACATGCATTACATTCATATGCATTACTTGAAATTGCATTTGGAATGCTACACCTTGAATTAGAATAAAATTGTTTTAGAAGGTGTAAATCTTAGTAGGAACATTGCTTTCCAATAAACTAACATTCTTGAAAATGCATATTTGGTTTATGTTGACGCTAAAATCGGCTGGCTAGAGTCGATTCTGAATTTGATATTTACGGGTGTGCCAGAATCAACAATGTAGTTCGAGTGTGAGTTGTCAACGCTAGTTTCTTTGAGAATATTGACTATCAGGCAATGCAAGGAGAAAGAGAACAATTGTAATACCCCTAATTTCAAAAGGATAGTCCTGCTATTTTATAAATTGTTTAAATTGCATTTATATTTGTTTAATGGTTTATTTGTTAATTTAATGGAGTTATGTGATTTATTTGTTTTTTTTAAAATTTTATTTAACTGACATTTGTTTAGTTAGTATTGGTTTAATTATATGCTTATGTGGTTATTTAAATATATAGTTTTTAATTTAACTGTGGTCCGTGTTTGTAGTTGGTTTAGGATTTAATTTAGGGTTTCAAATAAAACCTATAAATACATAAGTATATGTCTGCCAAGGGTTTTGTTAATCCTTTTCACGTAGTAGAGAGATACAGAGAGTTGTGAGATTTTGAGAAAACAGATAGTGAAAACTCGAGAGCTTACAGAGAAGTTCAAGGAGAAAGAAACGGGGTTGCTTCTGGGTTAGCCAAGAGTAACAGAGGCGTGGAATAAAGTTGGAAATTCAGAGACAACAATTAGAGATTTAAAACCAAAGTCTCAAAGGCAAGTTTCTGTTCTTGCTCTTTCCCTTTAATTCGTGTTCTGTGCATGCCTAGCTAGACTCCAGGAGTTTAATTAATGCTAAAACAAATTAATTATGCATGCTTAATCAAAATAAAACAGAGGGTTGCAGAGTTATACATACCTGTTCATGCTTTCTTTAGTTTTGTGATCTTTATGCATGAACTGTTGTTTAAATTGAATCTTTGCATGTTAAAACACTTAAAATAATTTAGTATGGACGTGTGGGATGTAGGTTGAAGCTTAGAGGCCTTAGCAATGGAGTTTTAGGGTTTACAGAAGCTAAACGGACGAAGAAGACGGCATCAACACCAATTTAGCCGACTCAGTTGGAGACTTAGCCGACTAAGTTGGAAACTTAGCCGACTAAGTTAGGAACTTAGCCTGCTCAGTTGGCAATTGAGCCGACTAAGTTGGGCCGTGACCTGGAACTTAGTTTTAATTGCCCAGAATTGTTTTAGAACCTATTTTAAGTAATCTAAATGTGTTAAATAGACTTTAGATGGTTCTAAAATGCATCATACACTTCTTATGCTTAGGAAATTTGACAATACGGATATGTAAATAAATTTTTATAAATTATTTAAAGGATGAATCAGTATAAAAGCATACAACTTAGCATACTGATAATGGATGGAAAGAACCAAATTGCTTAGCTTAATTTTGGGCAACATAATGGACTATAATAAGATTATAAATCTTATATTAGATGCATGATAAATCATTTTATGTTTAAGGTTTGAACTATGCATGCTCTGGATGTTAATTGTTGGAATATCAAATTCTCTAGTGCAATTACATGAATTAATGCTAGGATTTATATTGCTGAAATTTTAAATACCTTTCTGCAATGATATGGATAATGGTTTGGATTATAAATTACTAGCTTATTATTATGTTTTGTAATTTACATAGATATGGAGGATTGTATGCACCAGTATGGGACGGTGACATACTAGGGACGGTTTAGCTCAAAACGCTTAAACCTACCCTAATGGATTAAATGATGGGTTGAAAAATATTGAATCCAAATTGTGATTGAGGCAGATCAACTGCAACTAAGTTGAATGGATTCCTGGATTAATGGATGGTATTTAAGTCATATCAACTGAATAAGTTGAGTGACTAACTAGTTGTATATTGTATGTCATCTCAATAAGTATTTGAATGACATACTCTGGTTTTAGACGGACTTTATATATATGTTTATGGTACCACGAGATGAGCTTGAGTCTCAGACTCATTAGTTAGGGTGCGTATATGCAGTGGATGCGTAGCTGGTTAAAGTAGGTTGAGGTGTACCCTGTTAGGTCTAAGTACTCATGCCCACCTTTGGGTGCGTTTTCACATGTTGCCTTCTATTCAGGTTGAGACCCCTACTGTAGTCCAGTGAATGTCCCTAGTGTTGATATATATATGTATGGACTAGATAGATATTGTTGAGCTATCTATGATGTATTTGTGTATCGGATTACTGCTTGGATCGTAGTAGAATAGGACTTGCATGTGGGCCTGACCCACTCTTTATTTTTCTGGTGTCCGTCAGTTCCAGCGTTAGAGCTTGGACGTGTAGAACAGATACAGATATTCATTCCTCCGACTACGTAGGAATCTTTTCTATGTTTAGCTTTAGATTCTATTTCAGATATTTTAGTTTCTATTAGGTTTTAATAAGGGGTCCACTGGATGGATTCCCGAGTTGTAAACTTATGGAGTTTTGGATTAACGGATATAAATAATTATGTTTTGAGGATTTTTATTCTAGTTTCTTTTAGCTTGTTATTTTTATTTCTTTAATTCAATTTGTATTTCATGTTCGTTAAAATATTAATTGTTTGATATTCCCTCGGGTTTGGGCCTGGCCTGATCAACCCGCGTCTCGGATCCAAGGGGTATCACAACAATAAAACTCTTCTTTTGAGTTCAGGATTACCTTAATTAAAAGGACTTTGTCAATGAATAATTATAGTAACAATTTGAGAGAATAGAAAGGGGAGAGAAACAGATATAGAAAGAAATAGAGAGAGAGATTGAGAAAGCGAGATAGAACGAGATATTGAGAGAGAGAAAGAGAAAGAAATAGCAAGGATGCTATTCTGGGAAAAAGGTTGAGGAAGCAACAATAATAATAAATGTTTCTAAGGGTGCTGGACCTCTATCACAACATGCCTCTTTGCTTATTTATAGAATAATTTGTAAAACAAATTCCTATATGCAAGTATTTTACTTGCATTACAACTCTATCAAAACTAAACTATAAATTCAAAATAAACTAATCCTATAGATAACATAATTATGTAACTAAAACTAACTAAAAGATAAGTCTTAAAACGATGATCTTTATCCACATCTTATTCAAAATACTCTTCCCATCTTTGTATACAATTTCAACTTCAATCTATGTGGAATATCACCCTTCTCTACTGCCATGTCATCAATACAAAATTTACCAAAATGGATGTCAACAATACCCTCAATTTTAAATGTCTTATCGGCTGTCGGCCATAAAGCTGATAAGATATTTGAAATTTTAAAATACATTGGAAGGAAATTGTGAGTTAATCAATTGGAATAAGATTACAAATCAACGAGTTCTAAAGCTTTATTTATTTTGAATCACCCCTAAGATGATCTTTATTTAGCCAAATCTGCTGATTTAGGCTTCTTCCTGGATTCTTAGAAAGTTTGCCGATATCACTTGCCCATAAACCCAGGAAGGATTTGTCCCCTATGCATTTTCTAACTCCGCTAGCAAATCATGATTATGATTGCTAGGAATTAAATTATTGTGAAATGTCATTCTAGCCGATCTACCTATTATCTCTACTAGATGAATGACATTATGCCAGCAAGGAGTTTTCTTAGCTGATTTTGCCTAAGCCGATTTTACATTCAGCTCAATCAGCAAGACTGCATCATACCAAAAAATCTATTGATCGATAAGCATTACCTCACAATAATCGACAAGTTAAAGTGGAGGGTATTGATCAAATAGCTTTTGTTGGGGGTTAACAATCACATGCCCCCCCGGCAGCCGCTGGTTTTTTAGTTGATTTTCTTTTAATCGATTTTCTTTTAGCCGATTTTGTCTCAGCCGATTTTTTCAACTGAGCTCTAAGTAACCTTTTGAAATTAACATTGGCTAGTCTTTTTTTCCTTTCCTTGAAATTGGGCTAAGGACAGTGAGTTAAAATAATTCTTTTAGCTGATGATTGTTTTTGCCGATTATTAGATGTCACAATCAACGAAGAATTCTGGTACATAAGCCACTTTGCTTTTAGCCGATTTGTACCATTCCATTAATGGCAACCATATTGAATGGGAGCAAGTTGGGTTTGCTCTATCTTTTCGTCTTGATTTATAGGAGCAACCGGTTGAGTTTCCAC